TTCTCTTCCCTTTCCTCACTCTCCATCTGGGCCTGTGGAGCGTTTTTTTTTTATTTTTTGCCACAGGACTCAATTCAGCAGAACAGACACACGCTGGTCTAATAAATCAATTGATCTGAACGCGGATGCCTGCTCTGTTTAGCCCCGGTCACTGTCGTCTGCCTCCTTAGTGCACTGCCTTCGGTTTCAGTTGTGTGTGTGTGTGAGCGTGTGTGTGAGCGTGTTCACCCAATTCGTTCCACCTCTTTGATCACAGCAGGTAAGCACAGTGGAAAAAAATGAAAAAGATGAAGGAATGTCTGGAATGCTAAAGGAAAACTTGACTCTTTTCTCTTCGACCCTCTGCACTGCAAACAGGGGTCGGTTTGCACTTAATAAACATATATACGCTCAAGCAGAAGGCAAGCAACAATTAGCATTCATGATTGTAACCATGACATCCAGAGTTCAACTTAGCATCACTGTTTCCACAGTCTGCTTAAAATAGATCCATGTCTTAAAGCTAGTATGACACATTGCTAATGCCGTTATTTTATGTCTGAAATCGAAATGAAATGATCTCAAAACGATGTAATACGATGTATGCATATTGAGCACCTTAATTAATGTGTTCTGAGGTAAAGTTTTTGAACAGACTGGTCGACACGGTTCGTCCTCAGCACTGAATCGTACCAGCTGAACAATAAGCACTCTGTCTGTCCGTTTCTATCGTCTACTGTACACCAGGCGAGCCATCCGACGTCATAACCGGCCTGTGTGTGACTGTGGGAGTGTGAGAGAGAGAGAGAGAGAGAGAGAGAGAGAGAGAGAGAGAGAACTGTACCAGGAGGGAATCTGTGCCCTTGCGTGTTTGTTGGCAGGCTTGCTTACGTGTGTCAGGACGATTGGGCTTTTTGCATACACGAGTGTGTGTGTGTTTGTGTCTGTGTGTGTTTGTGTCACAGTCGCCCGCATGTTCATAATTGTGTTTTTTTGTATTTGCATGTGTGTACAAACGTGTGCACGACATGGAGACAGACACGCATGCTTGTTTCTGTGCATGTATCGCGTAGGACTGCTGCTACCGTCGATATTTTGTATCAAGCGTGTGTGTTTAATGGAAGTGGAAGTGGCAGTGGTGTGATGTCAGAAGTTGTGCATGCGTGTGTCTGAGAAAGTGCAGCACTGTTTTAATAATTTAGCCTCAAGGTGCTGGAATAAAGGTATACGGGTTTGTGTGCGTCTGCAGTGGAGGGAGAAAACATGTCTCCTCTTCCTCTAGGACGATTCATGAAACCTCAATGAGACTGTCTTCAGTTCGTCACGTTCAGTAAGATCACATTATCGTATTGGTGAAGGATTTTTCAAAATGTCAAAACAACATTCGTCTTCAGCCCAGAGGTTGTGTTTTATTTTCGGCAGACTTTAAGTGGCAAAAGGTCTGGTGGTTTGCCAGCTGTTTCTCTCAGTGTGTGTGTGTGTGCGTTTGTGTGTGTGTGTGTGTGAGAGAGAGCGAGGAGGTTGACACAAACAGGCAGGTGAGCACGGTGCCCGTTACACCTGGGCAACGCTTTACCTTCAGGTCGAAAGCGGGATGACGGAGACGGAGTGAATCCTCTCTCGTCCCTCCTTATTTGCCACGCTCCATTTTTCTCCCCCTTTTCCCCTCTTTCTTCGCTGAGAGAGACAAAGTCAGAGAGACGGGAGAGAAGCAGACACGGACTGGCACTCGAGTGTATTTTCCTGCTTTTTGAACACGGCAGTAAATCAGGACTTCGGGTTAACGTTTAAACCAATGGTGCCACCAGAACTCAGATTTTCTTTTCCGTGGAAATGCTGAAACCATCTGCGACCAGTTCAATTAAAATCCCAGAGACATTTATTGACTTGTTTTTGTAAGAGCACACTAAATAAAGAATCAACTACAGTCCTAAATGAAAGACAAATGGCACTACAACACATAACTGTAAATATTGTTTGTGTGCTGACCGGGTAAAAAAGTTGTAATCACCACTCAGCACTTAAAGTTATTACACCTGGATTTCAAAATGAAGAATCTATCTTTTCTAATTCCATTATTCCAAGCTGGTGTTGAGCTTGTCCTCATGGGTTCATGCCAAGTATTTCCTCTGTGAGATTCCCATTTACTGTACAGAAAGAAACAAACTGGTACCAGCTCGAGTTGCTGTGCCAGCTGGCTGCAAAAAATGCTTCGCCTGGCATCCCCTGTACCAGCATAGACCCGAGAGAAAGAGAAGAGGAGGAGAACGGATCACCGAGATGGATTGAGACGTAAAGATGTGTTAAACAAAGAGAGGAAGAAGGAGGAAATTAGGAAAGTGGTTAAGAAGGATGGATCAAACTGGAATGCTGGGGATGAGTGCCAGGAGGAGGAGGGAGGAAGAGGAGGAGAGATAAATGGACGACACGGGCGGGTTGAGCTGAAAACAGCAGATGAAATGTAGAGAAATGGAAGCAGTGATGGACGCTGATGTGACAAGAGAGAAATGGGTGGAGAAAAGGAGGGCGGATGGAAAGATGGCAGAGATAGATCGACTTAAAGAGAGGAGTCAGGGATGAAGAAGGAGGGAGGGAGAATGGGGAAATTCTAGGAAATGTAGGATGAATAAAAGGAAGGATAAGAGTAGATGAAAATAGTTATTTATTGTCTTGTTATTACTAGTTGTTTAGTAATGACATTTAATCTGAATTTTACTTGTTAGAAATG